TTGATATATATTTAAAGGACTTTAAAGGATTTAAAGGAAGCACTACATTTCTATTTGCCTCTGCCTTATACCTGACCCAGTTTTCTCTTTCTTTTTTTTTCTGCTGGCATGAAAGACTCCTGAGAGTGATGCCCGAGAGACTGCTTTGATAGAATAGTTGGGATTGAAAAGCGTTGATAATCTCCAAGCTTCACCAGAACTATTTAATGGTGATATTTATAGATCAGAGAAAGAATCTTTCATTTCTCTGTCGGCACCACTTCAGCCTCTCAGTCTATGTGTGCTTTTCTGCCTGCTTTTGCTGTGTTTATTTGGAGAGGCATTAATAGTCTGAGACATTTTTAGCATCTACTGGAGCATTTTTCACCTTACAGTCTTAGCCCTTACTAAATGAGCCAGGGTCCTCTCTGGAGAGTAAAGTCAAAGTGTTTTGTATCTTCGCAGCATGAGCCTACATATGCTGGAACTGCACACACTCTCAGCACACTTAACCTGGAAAGCAGCCAGAGTCTCTTTGTGCTGGTCTACTCAGCTGTGGAAGGCAAGTTCCACAGCTGAATCGGATTCAGATGGCTCAATTACGCTTCCATGGTAGGCCTTTCCTTGGGATCAGAGGGTATCGCTATCTTACACACTTTAGCGAGGGCAGTGGCCTGCTTGCTGTGTTTGGACAAGCCCATCAGCTATCATCAGGCTCAGGGGATTCTCCCAGCATCACCAGAGTTCTCCAAGGAAATGCTTTTTCAGAACAAATGATCTTGACTCTGACTTGAGGTTCATTCCACTGAAAGAACAATAAAATCTGAGACCCTCTATAATTGAGGTCCTGCGTGGTCAAATAGCATTGAAGAGAAAGTTCTTCAGGACCTAATGTTGAGGACCTCCCACACACGGTGATATGACCCTCAAAGGTTTACCCACAATGCACTCTTTGAAATCTTCTCCAATTGATCATAAGAAAACAAATACGAGATACAACTAATCACTATTTTTATCTGTTACACTGCATTGTAGACATTAAATTGGTGCAGTTCTACTATGATATTGATACTATGGTATATCATATGATATTAAACTTTATTTTTTCTACAAAGAGCTCGAATTCTGAACAAAAATTTAATTAGATTTGGGCTTTAGACTGTGACGTAATTTTTTTATTTTTTATTTTTTTTAAATCCGTAATTCTGATTGCTTAAATACTGGGGAAATACCAACTCACTCCATTTATGTTGAGCTTTTTTTTTGCAATTACTGACTGTCAAAGTTTGGCTTTGCTTAATTTAATACACTAAAATTGGGTGGGAGGTACTGATTGGAAGGGAATGACCCATTAAAAGTTTAAATAAATAGGCCCAACCCTCTAAAATGATATTTTAGTTTCTTATAGGTAGAGCAGGGCGATATGACCAAAAATATTTATCACGATATACATTTGAAAATTTGCGATAACGATATAACTGACGATATAATTGACACTAGACAAAATACTTTACAACTCCACAACTTTATTAGTGCAAAAAAACCCCATCAATGTATTTTCACTTAAACAAGCAGCTGTTTTTATGTGCATTAAAGTTATATAAAATTTAACAGTGCAAATGCAAATTCCTTGCTGACAGTTTAACCAAAAGGCATTTCCAGTGGAAATTGGCCGACATATCCTCAGCATAACCATGTATAATATCCACAAAACTTAAAAAGAGGTTATACACACACAATACGGTAATATTATGTTGAAGCACAGTACGTATCACTCCGCGAGGCTCCTGCCTACGATAGCCGTAATGCTCCGACAATCCATCAAGCGGTGCGGGCTTCGTAGCTTAGCAAAGTCGTACTGAAACATTTGACAGATTTTCGAGCGCCGTGTACCACATAAAATCGTTTCGAGGTCAGTAAACACAACCAGAATTCATACATAAGGCACACGGGATTATAAGGGGCACTGTCGATTTTCAGAAAAATCAAAGGATTGATTTTAAGTGTGCCGTATTTTCCAAAAAACACGGTAATAACGACGGCCCGCTAGCATGCTCTACCAAAAATAGTGCTTTGTTGTGTATCTGACGGACGAAAGCTAAACCAGTTCCACACCACTGAAGTTGCAGCATTTTTACAAACCAGTTCTGGTTCATCGTTTCATTAACGATCCGCTTTCCCCTTCTCATTCTGCGTCGCCGCCATGTGTGTATGTAAACCAGTGGTTCTTAACCTTGTTGGAGGTACCGAACCCCACCAGCTTCATATGCGCATTCACTGAACCCCTCTTTAGTGAAAAATAAAATGTGATTTTTTTTTACTGGTGCACAAAATGAGCCATGCATGTCATGGCGGAGGCTCTGCCGAACCCCTGAGACCGAGCTCACCAGAACCCCTAGGGTTGATCGAACCCAGGTTAAGAACCACTGATGTAAACAAAGACACTGCGCATGTGAGTTTTACACATATTCTATCACGATATTTCATTTTCTTATCGTTGCCCAACATTATACCGGTATTACTGTGAAAGGTATGATATCGCCCAGCCCTACTTAGAGGTAAGGTCTTTGTGCAGAGGTTCTATTGTAAGAGGCAATCTCGTACTTAACAAATGAAGCATTTAGGTGTGAGTAATAAAGACAGTGGGTCCCCATCCTAAGTTGGTCTTTTTGAACTTTGTTAGTTACTTTGACTTTAGTCAGAGCTGTTCGGCTAACTAGAGAGAATTAGTTTTGTCAATTTATGAAGTCTAAAGAAAAGCTTTTGAGACCTAACCAGTGTGTCAAAGGTAGCTCTGTTTATCTTTTTACAAGCAAAAATGATCACTGATAAAAAATGAACTGATAAAATCCTATCAATACCTTTTGAATAGTTAAACTAACACCAGTTATCCGTTTATCATTATATTGAATTTATTCCTATGTTTTAGGTTTGTCCGTCTTTATTTCTTTTCATTACCATAATAAATTTTGAGTGCCTTAAATCTTTTGCCACATTTGAAATTTTGCAAAAAAATTCCTTAGAACAAAATGGAATGCCCTACTTCAAATGATTCATTAAATGTTTGTGAGATAGATGTCAACAAAATAGCCCCGGCAAACTCATGTTCATTTTGTCAGTCTGACTCATACCAATTTAATTTAATAATATCTTGCCTTTTTTGCCATCTGGCATCTTTAAATATCTTCATTATCCTCATCCTCAAATAATGTAGTTTGCCAACTTTAGGGAAGTTAAATAAAAGCAATTATTTCAATCTTATTTAACCTAGACTTTTACCATCATAGCTCTTGTTAGGGTCTATTAGGCCCCTGGCTGAACCACCTTTTATACCTCCTTGCATCGTAATCACTTTGTTTTTGATAGCAGTTTTGGAGACTGAGCTTTAGGATGTTGAGTTTTATCATCAAAGAGCTGATATCTCACTGAGCCACACTATTGGTCTTTCCTTCCTGTTTTTAACCCCCCAACCCCCCTGCCACAGCTCTGTTAGCCAAGTGTGAGATTTCAGGCTTGCACTTCTGGATGCACTGCCAGCTAATCTATATGCTAATGAGAAGATGATAATCAATGAGGTTCACGCATGGTTGGCCCCAATCAATACTATGTTGCACCAGCAAACGACTCAAATAGCCACATTTCATACCGCCAGACAGTTGGGTGGCGTGTTAATGTTGTGGGGTAGAGCATAAGTATGCCATTATCCTTTGGTTTTTATCTTCCCAATTCCATGTAAATGAATTCTGTTGTCATTAAAGAGGAGTTTAAATTCAACTCTAAAGCTATCTCATTTCATTTTTATGAGGGGTTTTGCTGGTTTTCCTCTTTTGTTATTTTGTTTCTAAGCTTGATGTCCATACAGAAATCTTTGGCACCAATTATTCAAAGCCTTCGGTAATAAATCACTCTAGTCTAGTGTGTACACTGTTATTTTTTTTTAAAAACTGTCAAGACATGCTGCAGATGAATAGTGTCACAAAAAAGTTGCAAAGGTTGAGAATAACAGTTAAATAGTTTGAGAGCTCATGTCAGCAGAGATAAAGCAGTACCATGTCATGACTTAAGATGATACTAGTCTCAGTTTCACGACTAATAATGAAACAATTTTGTGGATCAAAAATCTGTTTTGTTTTCTTAAAAACAAACAAACAAACAAAAAAAACCCTCTCGCCCCTGTGGGATCTGGGAGCTTGAGGGTCCTGCGCAGTGTCTTAGGCTACGTCCACACTAGCCCAGATAAATTTGAAAACTGCATTTTCGTCTGAAAACGCTCCGCGTCCACACTATCGTTTTCAGTCATTTTCACAGAGTTGTGCGTCCACATTAAAACAGCCAAAAATGCTTACGTTCCAGTACTGCGCATGTGTGAAACACAAGACGAATCGACCTGCCTCATTTCTGTCTGCTGTGTATTTACTTTCCGGCTCTTTCAAACATTGCAGCGAAATGTCGAGGAAAAGCACAAAGTTTTTTAAATGGACTAACAATGAGGTGGAGTTGTTGCTGCGAGTAACATAAAAGTACAAAGTTGCAAAAGCAAGTGAGAATTAAAGAATTTGAAGAAAAGCTCTCTGGAGCATGTACATTTGATATTAATCTTTAATAGGGCTGTCATAATTGAGTGCAAGCAAAACAACTGCTGTATAATGCCCTCCGCTATCTTAGTTTAATTGGTCACATGACTGCACCACATGACTAAAATGTGTCAACGTTTTCGAAAAGGCTCCAGGTTCGCTGTCCACACTGCGATGCAAAAACAGCGTTTTCACATGTATCCGCTTTGGAGAGCGTATTCAAAACGCGTTGTTCTTGACTGAAAATGCCGTCTCAGTGTGGATGGAGGGCCAAAACGGAGAGAAAAAGATGCGTTTTCAAACGAAAACGTGTTAGTCTGGACATGGCCTTAGCTGTTCCTAGGACTGCGCTCTTCTGGACAGAGATCTCAGATGTTTTTCCTGGGATCTGCTGGAGCCACTCACCTAGCTTGGGAGTCACTGCACTTAGTGCTCTAATTACCACTGGGACCACTGTTTCCTTCACCCTCCACATCTTCTCAAGCTCTTCTCTGAGCCCTTGGTACTAATTCTAGCTTCTTGTGTTTCTTCTTCCTGATGTTGCTCTCATTTAGTATTGCTACATATATCACTACGGCCGTCTTCTTCTGCTTCTCTACCACCACTATGTCCGGTTGGTTAGCCACCACCATTTTGTCCGTCTGTATCTGGAAGCCACACAGGATCTTAGCTCGGCCATTCTCCACCACCCTTGGTGACGTCTCCCAGCCTTGTTCCTGCTTGTTCCTGTGCTGCCATGATTAGTGCCTCTGTGTTGTCTTTCAGTCCAACTTTGTCCAGCCACTGGTAGGACGTCTGGATGTCAGCCACTTCCTCTATCTGCCGGTGGTACATACCGTGCAGGGGTCTATCCTTCCATGATTATTCCTCCTCTTTCTCGGGTTTCTGCTGCCTGAGGTATTCACTGAGCACGTGGTGGGTTGGGGCCATCTTCATTCGCTGATGTTTGTTGTCTCATCCTGGACTGTGATGATATCCAGTGTTGGTGATGATATCTCCCCCCGACTGTCGTCCTGGTTCCCCCTTCGTAGCATGTGTGTTGTTGAGAGCAGTCCTTCTTCACAATGTTTGAACACTGAGCTGCTAGTTTCGCCATCAGTGTGGATGTTGGGTATCGAAGATTCCATAGGTCCCTCATCCTATTCATGTAACCCCTTCGTTGTTCAGCCTGTGACTCACTGTTCCTGTCCTTAGCTGAATGCTAAGGAAAATGGGCCCATTGCAACTGCAGGTTATTTGTGGAAATTGTGCTGCAGACTTGAAGTGAAAACTGAAATACTGAAAAAGGAATGAAGCCTTCGGTTTTCCACTCTTCGGGTCTAGACTAAGCAAAAGAGAAGAAAAAGCATTTCAGGGTTATTTTTATGAAATTCCTCATTATCTTGGATTTTCAGCTATTTGGAAATAATTTGGGTGATATGGGGAGGTTAGGGTCTAAGCATCCTAAAAAAAAAAAAAATTTCAGTATTCAGGAAGCATCAGAGGGGGAGGGGAGAGTAAAATCATTACCATCATCTTCATTAAAGAGGATCCTGTTGTCCAATCAGGATGCGGCTCTGCATGGGGATTCCATAAGCGCCCGTTGGCTGTCGCTAGGATACCACATAATTAGGAGGCAGGCTGTGGCCTGGTTGGTGGACTTGGGTGTTGATGCTGGGACGACGAGCTTGCTGTGTGTTGGGGGTAGACAAGAGGGGCAGGGGGTTTGGAGGCTGCACAGAAACACCCTTGCACGCGCTCATTTATTCACTCAGTCAGCCAGGCAGCCAGCCACTCACTTAGGCAGACAAAGAGGAAAGAGGAGCAACATCCTGCAGGAGGACAGCACACTCCCCGGGGGATGGGGCATCATACCCCTGCATCGCGTTGGGGGTGTCGGAGGAGGTAGGAACACCAGGGTTAGGGGGCTTTGTCTCAGAAGCAGAGTATCCCTCTTCACACACAGATACACGCACACACGCGTGTGCACACACACACACACACACAGAAATTTATATATAAAAATACACACAGGCACACATTTCTCTGTGGATCTTTTAGCTATTAAAGCTATTATCACACATCAATCGATTAGTGGAGCTGACAAATGCATTCTCATAGTATTTTTTTAATGTGGGTCATCAGAGTTGTATGGGCACTGATGGAGGTTTCTGCACTTCCTTACTGTGATGTAAGCTCTGTAGAGACAGCCAGTCTGTCTGACAGTCTCTTAACAGCTCTCATCGTCCTGCTGGATATGCGAAACGGATCACACGCAAAGCTGACTGTCAGTTCTTGTGGTCTTGTAATGCTAGCATGAGGGGATCAATATGCTCCAACAGCACTTAAATTACATTGTTATGGCATTGACTGGCTCTTTGCACTGTGTTTCATGCTGCTGGTGCTGCTTTGATGTTGTCTTAAAAAAGCTGAATAGCACTTTTCATGGGTGCAAGGGGTCCTCCATGAAACCCAATTCAAAGCCAGATTTGTGGATGTAACAATGTAAAAGTGGTACTTGGATGGGGCTGAGCAAGGGGTGATCTACATGGCACTGTCTACTGATTGATGGGTGACTCCTCTCAAAGGGACATGGGTTGCAGGGATCATTACCAGAGGGGATTCCCTCCCCTCTCCCCACATGGGGAGGCAATATGAAGCACACTGTGGGATGTAGGCTAATGATGGCATACAGACAAGCAGGCTTTGGCAGCAGTGGTGCTTTGTTTACAACCTGGACCTAGCACTGCCTGACTGCATTTCAGTTTTTCAGCCACAAATATGAAAACATCAAGTTTTCAATCAGTCACTGGCATCGCTGAATGGAAAATAAGGGTCTTTTTAATTTAGAAGGTCTTGGAATATGTATTTTATATTTTTCCATTTTTCATCCAGTTTAAATTAGGATCTAGTTCTTTGCTTTAATGGTGTTAGATATGTCAGGTTAATATGTAAAAGCATTTTTAATTGATGCTTGTACTGCCCTAATTTGACTGTTTGCTGCCTTTCTTGTTATGCAACCTAAGGTTTCAATTAAAGCATTTAAGCTGTTTAAACAGATGTTAAAAAAATGTCTTTTAACTCACTCACTGGTTTGCTCAAATATTTTGTATCCTTTTGTGAGCTGTTCTGCGTTTGCCATTTTAAGGAATAGCATGTGGTTTAGTGAGATGGCAGATTGTTTCCAAGTCTCCTTTGTAGCCTAAATGGGCTGTAGAGCTTTGCTTTGGCTCCTAATCTGCTCGAAAGAATGAGTATGTGGAGGAAATGGCTTAAGAATTGCAGCATGGCGGCAGCATTGCTCCTTATTTAATTACTTCCATTACACACTTGTCCCACTCCTGCCCATTTAAAATCCTGAACCTGTTCACTCAACCTTCACCTCTCACTTGCTCCTTTTTCCTTGTAGCTGCGGTGACTTAATGTGAACCTGTATAACCTGAAGGCTAGAAATTCCTCCCTCCCTTTCCCCCCCTTTTCTAACTCATACAGTGATTGTTATTCTTTCTGATCCCCCCCCATCAAACATGCTCATTAATCCCATTCTTGACACTAGTCAGAATCTTAATGAGTTCAGATTCTTTTCTTGCTCTGAGAGCTTTTTTTTTTTTTTTTTTACTTCTTTTTCTTTTCTTTTTTTAATTAACTGCTGGACTTTGTTTAAACAAAAGAATCTTTGACTTTTTTCCAAAGATCGCTTATTTTCCACCAAGGAAGGATGCTTGATCTCCTTCCATCATCTTCACTTTTTATCAGCTGCCATGCTGAAATCTTCTCCACCTTGTCTACCCGGAGAGCTCTGAACCTTTTTCGTTCTGTACTAATGGATAGCAAAGCACCAAGGGACCAAACCTAAAAAGGCTTTTATGGAAGGACCCTAAATCATTCCTCCTTATTCTTGTGACTGACTGAATGGAATGGATTCATTTTTTTATTTAATTTTTTAAAATCTTATTCACTCAACACTCTTGGACTGAGTGTTGACTTAATTTAGGCTTGTAGTGTCTGCTTACCCCTTATATTTATGCTAAATTCAGTGGAGTTCACTGGATTCCTGAAATACAATTTTTATATGTATTTTTAATGAAAACAGGGGTATCATTTATTTTCCAGCTCGTGTTTGTATCCTGCATATTCATTTCGTGCAGTTGGACAGCATATCCGTCTTTGAGAACAGACAGCAGAGGTGTGACTTAAGCAAAATGACAAGAGATATCCTTATCTTTGTTTTGTAACTTGTACTGACTTTATATAACTTTAGCTTGGCTCAGTTTATTGAATACATAAATACAAAGTAAACAATGAGATCAAAAATCCCTTCTTTGAACAGTAAAAGCAAAGGGAGTATAAACTGTTTGAAACTTAATAAAGAGAATTGCATAGGGGCTCTTACATAACCCAGCAGCAACAAAATGAAAGCGGCTCCCCAAAAAGATGGTATGTCTTGTTTTGTATGAGAGAGAATGCTTAGTATCAGAACATATATGTATATTTTGTGTAGTTTGTCAAACTGGGGGCTGGACAGTCATGGCAACAGGGATGTGGGTGTCAAATTAAGTCGGGGTAAAAAAAAAAAAGTTAATGATTGGCTGCAGAGTTCGACATGATCTCTTTCAGGGTTTCTGCAGTGAGAGATTATTCAGGTAGTTGCTGTAGTAAAAGATTGCAGTGACCTACAGCTTACACTGGGCTGGTTTGCAGCTGGGTGCGAAGGATAAACTGAGCACTGAAATGCTCACTGAGCTGGGGGGAAAAAAGTGAAACTGGTAATTCACTGGTCGATCTGCATTCCTAACCTCACCTATGGACACGAGCTCTGAGTCTTGTCTGAAAAAATAAAATCACAGATACCAAAATGGCAGAAGAGTTTCTTTCAAAGCATAATGATTTGGTAGGGGCTCGAAGTAAAACGACTACGCTTTCATACAAGGTGATTCAGGCATCTGACTAGTGTGTTTTCTGGACTCCTCCTGGGTGAGGTGTTTTGAGCCATGGGAATGGCTCAGTGTATCACAAGAGCTGGAGGTAGCAGGGGAGAGGGAGGTCTAAAGGTATTGGTTTAGACCCTGATCAGGAGCAGAAGATGGATAGGTGTGATAAAGATTAGTTTCAACTGTAAAAGTTATAAGTAAAACAGTGATTTTATAGTTATGTAGTAAATGTTTTTTGAAGTCAAGTACTAATTTGAGCAAGCTGAGACTTTGAGATAATTTTTCTTTACATTAATATAAAATCCACAAAACCTGGACCTGGTGAAATTTTCATAACCAGAGTTCAGAGTTTTTATTCAGAAGAGATTTTACTTAATTTGAGTTCCTTTTTTGGGCCCTTTGATCATTTATGAGTCTAATTTGCCTTTTGTTTTGGTGGCAGGGTGATGCACTAATTAGTACTTACTTATTTTTCATACTTTAAAGGGATTGTGGCACATGTGTCATACTGAAGACGTAGGGGTTCAGTCCAGTCCTTCGCAAGTTTTAATCCAGCCTGCCAATCAGTTTAGTCTTTGAAAAACTTCGTAGTCATTTGTAAGTTTTCATGTGAATCTCCTTTTTCATCCTAGAACCCTGTGGAGTTCATGTAGTTTAAAATTTTCAAAGATCTTTAAGTTTGACTTTTTTTCTTTGAAATTCCCCACATGTACTGAGTTTCCAGGTTCATGCTTTTAAGAATTTTTAGATTGATTATTTTACCTTGAGATATTTGTGCTTGACTAAATGATATGACATAGTTAGGGATCTTTGGACAAGTTGTTGTTAAGAATATCTGGTATATGTAACCATAATAAGCCGTAAACTGTATATGGCCTTGGATGTGACCAACCGTGGTAAAATTAATTTTGTTGCCCTTGACCTATAGTGCAACATAAGACTAAAACAGTTTGGGTATAACTTTGATGCGGTAGATGTGTCACAGGCCTTACATTTACCTGGTGTTGAGTGGTTTATTGACAACCATGTTCAGGTGCATCTTGTTTCGACTACTATGTCTCCATTCAGTTGTATGTAAACATAGAAACCTAAAGCATTTTTGCAATCCATGAGCCAAAACTCTGGGTTAATAATTATTGAGTTGGTTGTCTAAAAAAATTACTAATTCCAACTTCTGTATCAGTGGCAGAAACAAGCTTCCATACATTCATCAGGTTTTTTGCTTCTTTCTTGAAGGCACAGGAGAGCCATTCAGAAGAGCCGGGGGTCAAAGGTGAAAAGAGCAGAGGGCACCATGGAGAGTGAGCCAGGGGCCCCTGCTTCCACTGCCAGCAGTACCGGGACCACCGCAGCCACCACCACGTCCACCACCATTTCCTCCAGCACCACTGCTGTCAGCAGTAATAGTACCTCTAATACTACTACGACTACTACTAGTTCTACTACTTCCACTAGCATTAGTAATAGTAGTAGCAGCAGCAGTAGTAGTGGTAGTAGTAGTAGTAGTACTAACACTAGCAGTACTTCCAGCAGTAGTACTACAGCTGGAAGACCGGCAGTGCCTCAGATATCGGTTTACAGTGGAATACCTGACCGTACAGTACAGGTGAGTGTTTTAGTTCTGTAATAAATCTGCTGATAGCTTAAGTTGAGGTATTCTGTGTAACATCCTGACACTCTTTGCTCTACTGCCCTCTGTTGGTGTTTAAAAGTGACATACAAGCTTCTAAAATTGTTTTTGATGTAGCATCGTTTTTTACAAAGGGAATTGATGAAAAAGGGAATTTGTCTTCCCAGTAAAGGATCTCAAATATGTGGTAATGTTGGAGCATGTCTCCAATTTGGAGACAGGAAAGAATGTTTTCTGTGCTGTCTCCAATTTGGAGACAGGAAAGAATGTTTTCTGTGCTTTAGTGCTTTTGACCCCTTGCCCTCGGGGTAAGCCTCTACACAGGCTTAGCCTCCCTCAGAATTAGGTCCACTCAACTTTGAGTGCTGATGGTTTGACAGCAGGGTTTTTGTTAGATTGAGTCCTTCTTTTCACCCCCTCAGCATGCTGACAATCACAAGGCAATCACTATTGTCACTGAGCAGCACTGTGAGCATAAAGGACTGCTGGAAATCAGTTCATGCATGTATTTCATCTTTGCTACTTGTGCCCGTCAGCGACACGTTGTGGGTCCGGATGCTTCTGTGACACTGTTGACTGCAGGTCAAAATCCTTGGAAACATGGCATAGGGCACTTGGAGAGGTGGTTTCCCAGTAGTAGGGGTTTAACTTTCTTAGAGTTGTGTCTGGCACAGTGTGAAACCTTTCTGTCCCACATTTAGGGAAAAAGAATTGTTTGTGTGTTTGCAGTAATTGGAGGTTTTGAAACCCTGACTTCTGTCTCCCGATTAGTCTGTTAAATAGGCAGTGATGCAATCAGTTCAGATTCAACACATTTTGATTGTACCACATTTAGGATTCGATAAAGATATTGCATACTAATGACTATTGCTTAATGAAGAAAAATCAGCAGTTTGGTCTGTAAAGCATTTTGAAATACAATCAGGACAAGATTTATAAGCTCAAGTGATAAAATAATTATAAATCTAAAACTTTGTAAAGTTTGTAAAATGTTAAATTCATAATAACCATGCAATCAAACTGACATTTCTTGATGTTGTTTACTGTTATCACACAATTTTCTTTTCATTTTTCCCACCAGATAATCTGCATGAGCAAAGATCCTAGTAAATAAAACTGCATTAAATATGGGGATGTATTAGCAACTGTTACTGGTATCAGAGTTTTTGGGTTGCCTGCTTTTTTTTTGTATGCCTTTGGCATGGTTCTAGCACCGCTGTATGTTTGTAAAAGAGCAAATCATTTCAAAAAACCACAGGTAAGGCTGTACAAAGAACAGAACTGTTTTTAGTATAGGTGTGATGTTGGTGGCTTTAAGCATTTGTATAATAGAAGAATGTGGAGAGTGTGGAGGTGGGTGATACAACCTCAGATTATATCACAATATTTCAATGAAATCTGCAACAATATTTCTGAAAATACAGAAAGTGTTTTATTTGTGAATGAAGTGGTGCCAGCAATAGCAGCATTATGGTGCAACAAGTCACACAGGTATTGTTTTCCAAGGAAATTTTAAGTAAGTCTAAAATAAGTGTTTAATACTTGCGCAATAACTAAAGTAACCTTGTAACTCTTCAGAAACCTGCACAACATTGTCATACAATAGAACTGAAGCTGCATGGTTATACTTAGGGTGTGTTTTTGGTGAAACAGGTTTGCCTTTTCCATGTTCAGCAGGGGCGGTTTTCTTGCATATTTTGGAAAGCATTGTTATGTTGGAGGATGATGAAGTAGCTCCCTTTTAACAAATCATCACTGTAGGCGGACACATGGCTGTGGCTGTCATATATATCTGGGCTTGTCTACTTGTTGTGCCATTAGATAATGTAAACACATGGCATTGCTATAGAAATACAATTATAAAACCCATTTTCTTTTCTTTTTATTTATCATGTAAAAATTTGTACTGAGATTACCCACATGGTAGAGGCACAGAGGCTTTGGTTTGCTTTGTTGACATATCATGAAGAATTGATGTTGTTTTGAGGTGACTGAATCTGTGATTCTTTGGATTTTATGAAAGTTTAGTTCAGATGTAAAAATCAAATGTTTCTTTTAAACTGGCCATTTTTTTGCACCTGTTTTTATTTGCAGGTATTCCAGCAGGCATTGCATAGACAGCCCAACACAGCAGCACAGTACTTGCAGCAGATGTATGCAGCTCAGCAGCAGCATCTGATGCTGCAAACTGCAGCCCTCCAGCAGCAGCACAGCCTCAGCCTGGCTGCTGTACAGCAGGTCAGCAAGCAGGCATCACAAATAATTCATTCTCTCAGTTTAGAGATGATGATTGCAGTTATTGTTGACCTGCTGCAAGACATGTTTCAGAAATTGTGCATCACTCACCCTGTCCTTCTTCCTCTCTCTACCTTTGTGATAGGCCAGTATCGCGGCTGGCCGGCAAAGCTCTTCACAAAATGGCACTTCATCTCAGCAAACAGGATCTACTCAGGCTACAGTAAGTGCAGTTTGGAGTGCTGCCTTCCTAAAAGCCTCTTTAAGTTATCTTTGTCCAGTTGGATTATCATCGAGCCAAGTTGATTTTTAGCAGCAGGATGCTAGCAGCTTGGTTGCTCCTTCTGTTTTACCTTTAAAAAGATTCAAGTTTCTTTTTGATTTTGTACGTATTTAGCTGTAAGAAATATTAGCAGAATGAACACATTTTAACTATTGAATTTGATGCTGTCGAATTTAATAGTTGGGGATATGATGCTTTTGTCTCAGAACTCCCCACATCTATTCAGGACTCGTACGTATAACCTAATAATCCTGATTATCTCTCCCCATAGATCAACCTGACCACGTCTCCAGCGGCAGCTCAGCTGATCAGCCGAGCTCAGAATATTAGCTCAACCCCCACCACTATTTCCCAGCAGGCTGTTCTGCTGGGCAGCCCATCGAGCCCCACTCTTACACCCACCCAAGCACAGATGTACCTGCGTGCACAGATGGTAAGACTACAGAGAAAAGAAATGGCCACAGGCACATTTACATGATGATCCTCCACTTTATGCATAAACACTAGCACACTCGTATTGCTTGATTTAAATAGGCACAACTCTGTTCTTTGGAGACCCTGTGTATGTGTTTATGCCATTCAGATTTCTTTATTGTCATGCAGTCAATACATCACAGATGCATTACTGAACAAAATTGCATGCACAGAGAGAAACTCGCAATAAAAACAGGGCTGAGTTAAAAAAGAATAAATGAAGGCTTTATTGCACATGTATAGAACATTACATACATACATAAATAAATAAATAAAATATACAAAATACATATTGTGTTTGTAAGTAATTCCACTGTAAATGACGTGTTTTGTTGTCATCTTGCAGTAGAGTAGGTGGTCAGGATAATGCGTTTGCCTACAGAGAGCTCTTTGCAAACATGGAAGTCGATGTCTTTAATGCTCAGAAAACATTTTTTGGTTTGTGTGTGTGTGTGTGTGTGTGTGTGTGTGTGTGTGT